AGAATGATAATTCTTGGTCAAGTAAGTATCATCTTTTAGTAAAAAATAACACATCACAATCAGTTCAACCAATTAGTACTTACAATGATGTTTATATAAAGGAAGAAACACACTGTCCCATGTAGGAAGATGGCTAGGTGTGGGCCAAAGTTGCCTTGTCAGTGATGAGCTCTGGGACAAAGTTGAATTACAGCTCTGGATCAGATATGGTTGAATTACCTGCCCTGGCATACAACCTTGGACCAACGATGAATCCAAAAGATGCCCCAGAGTTGGCCTAGAGACAACCCTTCTGCCATTGAATAAAATTTGTAAATCACTACATAGTATAAAACAAATTCGCCTCCAACTGTCTGTCCCTATGTATGTTTAGATCTTTAAGACTACGCAACGGATTTTGATGCGGTTTTTTTTTATAAATAAAGTACACTTTAAAAGATCTACAAGAAAGTTCATGATAGTATGTCTATCTCTTAGAGACAATCCACAATAACCATTTTTTATCCTTTACTTTTTATGAAAAATAATGACTTATTTACGAAGCGATTTTAAGCAATACAGCATTAATTCTTATTCAATTAAGTATTTTTAAATACATTGTGCATTTAATATAGATCAATATGACCCTTTAGGGCATGTAATTTAAATTAATATTTTCGAAGATATTACAGATTTAAAATGCAGGGACATAGCGGCAGTGGTGTTGTGCTAATTTTTTTTTTACCGGAACGCGTATATATAATTATATAGACAGGGCCGAGCCTGGGTAGGCAGCCGCTCTGTGCGGTCTCATGTCTCAATTTTGACGACGACGGGGAGGGGGGATTTCCCCCAATTTTCGCCCGTCGCCAGGATCGGCCCTGTTCACGGTTCGGAAAAACAAGCCGGTTCGTTCCGGTTCGGGTTCGGTACAAACCCTTGTTTATAATAATACATAATACAAAAATTAGGAAAAAAAATCAGCAATTCTTTTTAATTGTTACGTCAGCCAATTTTCGTTATCAGTAATCACCTTTAGTTCCGGAACGCGTTCCTGTCCAAAAAGGAAGTACCGGAACGACGTTCCGGAGCGTTCCGGCTCGACAACACCACTGATAGCGGTTGCGGCGATACCGGCCGGGGGGCCGGTTTGTATTGTCTATATTTAGTATAAGCATTGCACCCGTGCGAAGCTGGGGCGGACCGCTAGTAAACTATATATAAACAATTATTTTAAATAACCATGACTTATTTAAGATTGGAATGAAGAGAATAATTGTTTACTGTGGATTATAAAAGAACGAATGTAACTAATTCCATGAATATTTATAATAATGCTTCTCTATTTCTTTCCTAACCGCTTAAACCGCCGTCACGATCTGGAGCTCCAGAGATAAAACTGCTAATGATTGTAATTATTGATTTGGTCTGTTATGTCATAACTCAGATTTGAATTTGAATATTAATTTTCTAAATTAATAGATAGACTGTTATTAATTGTTACCATATTATCCTCGAAGCTCGATGTATGGGTTCCCCATGTTCTCAAAGAGAGAAATCTGTGCCGCCGCATTGACGTCTGCGATTCGCTTCTCAAACGTCNTTACCTGTTAATAAGAAAAATAATATAATTCAGATTATTAAGATAATTTCTCCTTTTCTGTAAACATTAACTGTTTGAACAGTACTATTAAAGTCTCTTTAATTAATTAAAAATAAAATATTGATTGAAACATTTACTTAATAATTCTAGGTATTATTTTTTTAATTTAGGTAAGAAAATAAGTCCTCGGTCACCGAGAGCATGGTCTAAAAGTTTAGATCATTGCTCTTTTCTTTTCATTTCGTCCGTCTCATCTTTCCCACCCGAACCACCACCCACCCATTCCCACGATTCCTGAAATTAGGCTGAAGAGGGCCTTCCGGCGTAGTCCGGAGGAACTGCCCGCCCACCAGCATTACTTTGGTCGAGATCTGAGACAGAGAAAACGATCCATTCTTGGTAGATCAATTGTATGCCTAACTTAGTCCAACCTTGGATGAACTCCGTTCAATCAAGGTTGAGCAACCCAATGTTGGGTCAAAGTTCACCCGATCGTTAACTCTGGCAGTTCCTAAATGGGGCAAGCCGCATTTTCATTGGAACGTAGAAATAGTTTCACTGTCTCTTTTCCAAAGTCGAAACTTAACCTATTGAGTACCTATAGTACTTTTCGATGTTTGCCTAACGAGTTTTTGTTTAATTCTAGGAGAGACTGGCTCAACTTATGTTAGATTAGGTTAGGTTGCATTAGGATTGGGTTATGTTAGCTAGTTTTCTATTCAAATTTCGATTAGTGAAAAGCAGAAATTAGAACTTATATCGGAGTTTGCCGTAAGGTCATTCCGCAGTGGAACTGCATATGTACTTTTGGCTTTAACATATAGATTGTTCCTCAGTAAAGTAAAGTAATATGCTAACAATGGATTTTTAAATATAGCAAAATAGATGGCTGAGGGAACGAATCACTTTGAGGTTGGGTCTAATTATTTTGTTATCAACAACAATGCGAAATTTGCATTTCCGGTAATGAAATACTTTCGAGGAAATATGCGAAGAATATAAAATTCCATGATATGCTTCTTCATATAATTCCGTCTTTATCACCAGCCGTCGTGTTCAACTATTCAAAGATCGCATCACAAATTTCGCGTTGTGCCTTTTTTTAGTTTCCCTGGACGCATTGTGTTCATTTCTCCAAATACGACAATATGAATGATGAACTTGAGAACTTCAGTGGCGAAGGAGTCAACCACAACGCGTGTGCTATTTCAATCAGTTTTCTCGTCACATGGCGCGTCTTGCTCTTCGAAAATAGCAAAACAAATCTCACGTTTTGCCTTTTATGAGTTTCCCTGGATGCACTGTGTTCATTTCTGTAACTTTGACAAAATAAATGATGAACTTGAGAACCTCAATGGCGAAGAACTAGACTACAAGGCGTGTGCTTCTATAAACAGTTTTTTCGTTACCATGACGCGTCATGTTCAAATATTCAAAGATCGTAACATAAATTTCGCGTTGTGCGTTTTTTAAGTTTCCCTGGATACATTGTGCTCATTTCTACAATTACAAACTTGAGAACCTCAAACGCAAAGAAGTAGACCACAACGCGTGTGTTTCTTCGTTACTATGACGCGTCATGTCCAAATATTCAAAGATCGCAACACGGGTTTCGAGATCTGGCTTTTTTTCATTTATTTGAACACATTTCATTTTTGCACTTGTTACGATGCAAATGGTTCCGGTAAATTTGAGAAGCTCAATGACGATGAAATAGATGAGAAGGCGTGTACTTCTTTAAATAATTAACTTGTTATCACAATACGTTGTGCACAAATATTCAAAGATCGTGTGCAGTCGTGAGACAAAAAATTATCCGGAGACCACTCGGAAGTTGCGTTTCTGAAGTCCCGTTCTACTAGAATGTTATTAAAATGAAACTAGTAGCGAATTTGATTGATGTGTTTAATGAGACGGTTTCTTACACACTAACTAACAACATTAAATTTAGAAAATACCACAAATGGCGTGGTTTGCGCCATCTGTAGTACGATGCTACATTTTAGGATTACGTGTGCTCCAGCAAGGTCCATTTAAAAATATGGATATCTATTTGCTGAAACGAATCCTGGCGTAGGTAACCTCAACGTGATAAGCACGTTAGCTTTTTTAAATGGACCTTGCTGGAGCACACGTAATCCTAAAATGTAGCATCGTACTACAGATGGCGCTCACCACGCCATTTGTGGTATTTTCTAAAACGCGCTGTTAAGACAGCAGGTAAAGGTTGGTCTGTGTTCTGTCGGAGCTGCC